ACATCTAACCGTCTGATATTGTCTTTGTTGCCCCTAATAGTGGGGCCGCCTCCTGAGAAGCCGCCTGCAATGGTGTAGACGACTGCCTCATCTGTATCGGAGCTGTCGGCCTGTTGATTCTTTTTGGCCGCCTGCTTTTTCGAGGAAGTGTTCCCCGTAGATTTCTTGACATAAGTGTCAAGATCACCTTGCTCAGCCAGGCGGTCCAGATACTGCATGAGACTGATGCATTCATTGGTGTGATGACCAACATCTTCATGATAATCACAGAATTTTTCTTGGTTCCGGTTGTTTGCAGGACCCTTCATGGGGACCGGCTTCTCAATTGAGATCCGTCCCTTGATTTCCTTTAGGATAAATTGGCTATCCTTGTTAAACGCATACTTTGGGGAGTATGGTTTGAATTCTTTTTTCTTCTTCTGGGCCGGCTGTTCAGAGGAATCAGCCGCCCAGACCTCTTTTCTCTTCTCGTCTTTGTTTGACGACTGTTTCTGTCATCCTTCTCTTTTGTCGGACCTTCTCCCGTCTGACTGTTTTACCGTACTACAAAGATCAGTCGCCTGTATATAGGCTTCCGCTTCAATCAAGGCCTCTTGAAGAGTCGCCACCCTCTTTCGGACCAAATCAAATTTGAAGGTCGACCCGTCTTTGAGACCTCTGAAAAATTCAGTATAGGCTACTTCATCCGGTAACCCTTGAATCTGTATTCTCATCAGGTTAAACCGCCTGATGTAAGAACGAAGCCCCTCCTTCTCGCCCTGTTGAATTGTTCCTAAATCAAGGGTCGTCTTCTTCGCAGGGATGTTCATGGCGAAGTTGGAGGTGAATAAGTAAGCAAGCGTCTTGAAGTTATTTACACAACCAGTCGGCAGGTTGCCGAACCATTGTTGTGCGATTCCTTTGAGAGTCGCTGGGAAACACTTGCACCAAGTGGGATCATCCAACCCTTGAAGGTACATCAGGTTGGTGAATGCCATCAGATGGTCTTCTGGGTTAGTAGTGCCGTCATAGGCGCCTACTAATACATTTTTCACTTTTGCCGGCTGAGCGGCTTCAGTAATTTCCTTGGAGAAGGCCGACGGCTGTTCACCAAGTCTAAGCAACCGTAGCTGCCAGTCCATAGGTTGGACATTTTTTGCTGCATGTCCACCAAACGGAGGTGGCTGTAAAAAATACTATTGTTGCGGTACAAACGGTAAGTTTGGTACCGCCTGGCCGCTATGAAAGCCGGACTGACGGGAGGTGCCGCCTGACTGACTCTCATGATACGACTGAGTATGCCTCATCGAGGTATTTCGCAGACTGTCTTGGAAGTATGAAGTAGAGGCCGACTCTGACAATCGGTCACTCTTCTTCTGCTCTAGCAGTAGCCGAGCGTCTGTGTATGTTTTCCTCGACCCGTCCGCCTGAATATGACGAACAGGTTTCCTATTTCCTGGAGTAGGAAAACGGTATTTTGTGAAATCAAGGGCAGGTGGCTCCCACTTCCTAGATTTAGGATGAGGGGTCGCCTCTCGCCCTTGAACTGGCTTCCTCTTCCGTGAAGTGGAGGGTTTCTTAGCCGACTGCTCCTTGTCCAGAGCAGGCGGCTTCTTGTTGATCAACTCTTGAATTTCTCCCTTGAAGTCCCTCATGAAGGTCATGAGTTCGTTCCTTGTGATGGGAGCAGACCCATCAGTCGGCTGCTGCCGAACAGGCGGTGCGCCTGCTGGCTCGCTTCCAGTTTGAAGATGTTCCCGTTCCCTCCTTTCGGTATGACGGGTACGTCGGGCCCTTAGGGTCCCGTCTGAAGCTGTGTGAGCTTCAACTTCAAATTCATTCTCAATATCATGGTCCGACTGAACTAGAGGATCGTCCAGGGAACGTCTCTCTTCAGGAGCCGGTACAAACGTGGGTGCCATCTCAGAAGTACTTTCCCCACAGACGGCGCCAAAATGTTTTGGGGTTTTCTGATGTCCTGCGGGAGAGTTACAATTCCGAGATTGGAACCGGACGCCTGTACCTGCAAAACAAACGGATGCTCCGGATGGTTGGAGATCCGCCTCCGACAGTGAAGTTAGTACTTGATTAAGGAGTAATTAATGCGGAAATTAAATTGATTGGGTCTCTCTAGGTGAGAGTGTTTAATGTGTGTAATCTGCGTTGTTCGCGTCCCCTCCCTTAATGAGGATTAAGGGAGGTATTTATAACCTCGGGAAACGTGCCAAACTAGGTTTAGGTTAACCTTGGGCTGATTGGGCTTCCCTCGGAAGTTGGGCCTAGGTGACCGGCTTCTCCATTAGGCATGGAGTATCCCAAGTGTCATGACATAATAAGTCCAGGGTGGACGAATAAGCGTGTGCCACGTGGCAAGCCCTGAGATGTCCAACTGGGGGACACTTGGCAGGACCTGATTGGCCCATGTGGCGCATTCCGATTGGTGGGAGCAAAATCCCCTAATCATTTGCCCCTCACAGGTGGCACGTGACTGGTCACGTGTTACCTGTGACAGGTATCGCCCTGTAACAGGCGACGGCCTGCTACAGGTGTCACTCGGCGAGAGGCCGAGAGATTCTCCCGCCAAAATTTTGAATTCTGGAAGTGACCCTTCGCCTTCTCACTTCGCCTATATAAAGGAGTGTTGACTTCGGTCATTTTCACACTTGAAAACTTTGTGAGAGAACATTCGGACCCCTGAACTTGCTCTGACATTTTGGACCCTTTCTGCCTACCGCCTGCTCTGACAAGCCGACTGCAAAGGATTTTCAGAACTTCATCAATCGTCACTCGTTCAGGTAACCGTCGGTTCTCTTACTCTTAATTTTCTCTTTACTTTATTCTTTTTTGAAATGGCACCACAGAAGCACACGACACGACCTAGGTTAGTGATCAGCCGGTCACCGGGGACGGCTGAATCTAGGACTAGGAGTGCCGCCTGCCCTTTTCTGGACCCATCTTTGCCCTTTATACAAAGTCCGACTGTATCTGTGTCTATGCAGAGCATGATGGCCAAAACAAAAAAGACTGCCAGGATCTCAAACTCAAACGGCTCCTCCCACAGGGTGCCGATTAGTGAAACATCTAACCAGGCGCCAGATGTGGAAGTGAAACAAAGCGGCTTGAAAGCCGGCAGTTCTGAGGGAGGAGTCAAAGTATGCCCTATAATCATTTATCATATACTAGGAGGAAATAAGAGACCTGAAATAATTTTTAATTACGGTTCATGCTATTTTCGTTCTCTATTATCTTAGAAATAATTTCAATCTTCCATTATGAAAAACATAAAATACAACATATATTGTTGTCATTTATAACAACTCATGTATTGTATGGATCAAAATGCTAGTTTATTTCATAAGGCCTTTGATTGGTGCAGTATTCATACGGTGCAGCGAGATAGACAGGGTTCATCCAGCGCACATTATTCTTGCAATTACGACAAATAATAGTTTATCGTCCTTTAGTAACTTTTTGTAGTTTGTTTGTTTATATATATATAGAATTGAGATCGTGTGAGGGCACATCCCTTATGTGAAAACCCCTACTTATGTGAGAACAAATCTAGACCTTTGAATTGAGATCATCTAACGGCTCTTATCAACCCGCCTCATTAAGGTTAAATGTGTAATTTCACAGCTTAAATGACTACCCTCAATTTTCTTAGTTTTCATTTTCACTTTCTCTCTCTTCATTACATTTTCTCTCTCCTCCTTCGTATTATCTCTCCTCTTGCAAATTCTCTCTTACAATTTTTCATATATATATATAAACCCAAAAAATTAAAATGCAAGTGGAGTTTAAAGAGTGTGGGCAAAAACATACATTTATTCATTTAACAACTTAAAATTATTATAAATTTTGAAATATGGAACATAATTTTTATATATTTGTTTAGATCTGAAGAGATTTGTTGAACAAATTAGTACGTTACTTTAGAGTTTAGACAAAGACAAACCAATTTCCCATTTACCAAATTATATTCATCCCTATTTATTGCTCACATGTAGATCCCCATACGTATCTAACCAATTCAAAACACTCAATTTAATTAATCTCATTAACCTGTCGTTTTTGCTTCAATTAAATTTGTACGAATATTAATTTTTTTTAATGGATTAATGTCAGAAATTAATTAATTTTTCGTGGTTTGTATTACGGTAAACAAGAGTATATATACAAAAAATCGGGCTTATAAATACACATAGCCCAAAGAGCCAACTATACAATACATTACTAGATACATTATACGGCCTAACAGAAAAGATCCTTAAAAATCATTGTATCAAATGAGATACAGTCACAAATTTTGTTTTAAACACTACTAATAAACTTAAACCAATTAAGATAGTCGTTGATGCTTATTGTATACCATTAGTACTTTAAAACCAACTAAGATTGTCGTTTATGCTTATTTTATACCATTAGTACATTAGAATCAACTAAGATAGTTATTGATACTTATTTTATACCATCAATACTTTTAAATCAACTAAGATAGTCGTTGATACTTATTTTATACCATTAGTACTTTAAAATCAACTAAGAGAGTTGCTGATACTTTTTTATTTTATACTGTTAGTACTTGTAAATCAACAATATAGTCGTTGATACTTATTTTATACCATTAGTACTTTAAATTCAACTAAGAGAGTAGCTGATATTTATTTAAGATAGTCGTTGATATTTACTCCCTCTGGTTTTTTTTTTTTTTTGGTGTTTTTTTTTTGCATCATTTAGTGATGCGCGGAGTTTTAGAAGAGTAATATAATATTGTGAGTAGACGAATAATTTATTATTGTAAAAGTTAGATGGGGACTATGAAAGAAAAAGAATGTGAGGGAGAGTAAATATTTTTATTATAATATTTTTATTATATAAGTGGGGATCATAGAGAAGAGAGAAATGATAAAATAATTTAAGTGGAGTTTAAAGTATGAGAGAGAAATGATAAAATATTGTATAAAGTTAACAAATAAAGAAATGATGCATTAAAAAAAAACACTCATAAAAGAAAAATGATATATTTAAAAAAAACGAAGGGAGTATTTTATACGATTAGTACTTTAAAATCAATTAAGATAGTTGACATCTCGACGTCTAATAAATCAAAGTCGTTCACACATATCTGTTTCCTTACCTCCCCTTTATTATAAATACAAACACCCCCTTTCCTTCACTCTTTCACTCTCTATCCCCTCTCTCTACAAAATGAAGAGTAACTTCATTTCAAGTATTCTTCTTCTCCTTCTTGTGGCAAATGTTGTTATACTCGTAACGAACGCGTGCGACGAGGAGTTATCGAGTGCGGTACAACACAGGAATCGCAAGCCGAAGAGAAGAGGGCGGAGAAACGGCTGTAACATCTTCAAAGGAAGTTGGGTTTATGATAGATCATACCCATTGTATGATACAAATAGTTGTCCATTTATTGGAGATGGATTTAATTGCCAAAAGAATGGAAGACCTGATAAAGATTATCTTAAGTATAGATGGCAGCCTTATGGTTGTAATCTTCAAAGGTAATTTAATTAACTTCCCTTCATTCATTTTTTTTTTCTTAATAATTAATTATATTGTCAATGTTGTTAGTTTATAAAACACAATTTACATGACATTTTAGTTAGTTATAATGTACCCGTTATACTAAGTTTGGTGATAAAGTCGATTATTACTTGAAACGTTTTGTTCGGAATTTATAGTCACATACATTGTTCAATTTGTTCACATCTACGGTACCTTCCATTTAAGTAGGTAATATATAATCGACAAATTGTGATTATTGATTTCGGATGGAGAGAATATGAGATATGAGATCGGTGTAGACCGTGGACAGAGTGGGTTTGTTGGTGTCGAGAAATATGACCGTTGTACCTAAATATAATAAAAAATAAAATTAAAAATAAAATAATAAAACAACCGTCTTAAGGTAAACGGAAAGATTAATGGAGTTAATAGTGGGCCCTACACGTGAATACCAACACATTCACCCCATTTCAAGGTTTTAGTAGCTGTTTTTTGGGAGCCAGCACCCATATCGTGCTTTGGTGAAAGATGAATGATACAACTAGTGTGTTTGTTTTAATTATACGAGTAAATAGTATTTAGGCTTCGTTAATGCGCCGAGTCATTATAAAAAATCAATAGATATACGTTTAATCTATAAGCTACGAAGTAATATTTTCTTTGATTGAGTTTTATTTTCATATTGTCGTTCACTATTTATTGATCTTTTGTTTATAAGAGATAATATAAATTGCTCCTTTATTTTGAAGGAGCATAACATAGCTGAACTTGATGTTTCATGTTAAATGTTCATGAAGTTTTATTTAGATAGAGATTATTAAGGAATTATTAAATGTCGGTAGTTATTGAGGTCCGTTTGCGTTAGGTGTTGTTTGGTTGGAGGTAAATAGCATGGGAAATTTTATTTCCTAGGAAATGAAAAAAACATGTGTTGTTTGGTTGACACAAATTTATCAAAGTGAAGAAATGGAAATTCCAAGGGAAAAACATAGGAAATAACTTACCAAACCCTCCCTTGGTAAGTCACATTTCCTATGATTATTGTGGGGCCTACTTGCATTATTATCACTAATAATTTAATCTCTTTCTTTCTCTCTCCAAATTTGGAAATAGGAAATCAAAGTTCCTATTTTATTAACCAAACAAACTTAAGTTAATTCCTACGAAATGGACAAAGGAAATTACTTCCCATGAAATATAATTTCCTATGGAAACTCATTTTTCGTGTCAACCAAACAACACCTTAATGTGGTATGAGTTTCTAAATCCATTTACAATAAATAATTAGATATCATTAGATTAAAGAATTTTTATTTTTCTGCGAAATGAGTCAAATATTGAGGAATAATGGGAGTGTCAACTTTGTCGAATATATTCATGGCTTTATTTAGTCAAATGAGTATTTAACGTTTGCTAGTTTGAGAGACTATTAAGTACGGTCCGTAATAATTCATTGACACTCCGTATTTTATATGATACGGCGTAAGTAGTATTTTTCTGTGGTTACTTGTCAGGTGTATTAGCATTTTTAGGTATTTGAAAATAACAAATAATAATAATTTGATATTATTTTGCTAAAAAAATTACATTGATTGTGTCATATGAATTTTGCTACTCGACTTCCTAGGTTACCAACCATATATACTCCGTAACATTTTAATCAACCATATGTACTCTGTATCATTTTTTTTACGGGTCAGACATTTTGAGAGTGAGGGGGGAAGGGTACGGAATCCCCCACCCTCAAAGTGCCTCTAGTGGGGATTGAACTCCCAACCTCAAGGTTGGAAGGTACAATCCTTACCACTAGACCAAACTTAACTTGATACTCCGTATTATTTTAATGAAATGGGGGTATTTTATAAGGAATGTGTAACTATCTAAATAAAATAAAAGACAAAAATAAAAAAAAAGAAAAAAAAAGAAAAAAAAAAACTAGAGATATTTAATTTACTGCAATGTGGAAAATTTGTGAATATATTGGAAATATTTTTGTGAACAGGTTCGATGGACGAGCTTTATTAGAGAAATGGAGGGGCAAAACGATAATGTTTGTTGGAGAATCATTAAGCTTCAATCAATGGGAATCACTTACGTGCATGCTTCATAGCGCGGTGCCTCTATCCAAGTACACCATTGTCACTAGAGGTTCTCTCTCTGTTTTCTCTTTTCCGGTAAGCTATCTCATCATTGTCCATTAACACACATTTCATAACACTTACGGCCCATTTGCTTGGTGGTAATACTCAATTTGTTAGTACGAAGTTATTTTGTATTTGTTCAAAATTATATATATGTGGGGTTGATTATGTGTTACGGAGTACATTTTTTCTAGACAACTGTACGAAACTTAAAATTGCATATAATTCGATGATCATTAAGTATTATAATGCTCTTAACACTTTTTGTTCTTGTACGTGCTTTATAACTATAGACTTATACAGTTATACATGACTTTATTAAAATTAAATTTGTTTATTTTTTGGAATAGGAATATGATACTTCAATCATGATGTTGAAAAATGGATTTTTGGTGGATGTTGTGACTGAAAAATTTGGACGAGTACTCAAGCTGGATTCTATTAGTTCCGGCTCTACTTGGTTATGGGCTGATGTACTTATTTTCAATTCCTACCACTGGTGGAGTCACAGGTATATTATTATTATTATTATTATTATTACTGCTAGTACTATATTTATTACGGCTTACTGAAAACTACTCCGTAAGATAAAAGGCAAAGTACTTGTTACGGCGTTGCAGAAATGCAATATATTTTTTAAACTATATGTCAATGACTTTATAAGTGTACAACATTTGATATGATGCAGATGGGAATACTTCATGGTGGGAGGCAAGATTATCAAAAACATCGACCATATGAAAGCGTACAATATTGCATTGAGAACATGGGCTAAATGGGTTGATGATAACATCGACTCTAGAAAGACTCAAGTTTTCTTCCAAGGAGTTTCAGCTGCTCATATTAAGTAAGTACTTTTCAATACACCGTGCTTGCTAATTAGCTTAGTTCGATACACCTGATGCTCACAAACTCTTTTTTTCCTGTTCTGTTGTCGTTTATCTTGGCTTTTGCGGGTCCAGTGGAAGCGAATGGGGAGAGCCAAGAGCAAAGTTTTGTCGCAAAGAAACTCGACCGGTGTTAGGATCAGTGTATCCAGGTGGTAGTCATCCGGGTGAAGTGATTGTGAGGAAGGTTTTGAGTAGAATGAAGAAGCCTGTTCATTTGCTCGACATAACCCTTCTCACTCAGTTGAGAAAAGATGGACACCCTGCAATTTACGCTGGTGGTGGTCCTAAATTACTTGATTGTAGTCATTGGTGTCTTCCTGGTGTTCCTGATACTTGGAACCAACTTTTGTATTCAATTTTGTTCCGACAATGAATTCAACAAACAAAAACAATGAATTTTATTTTTTAAACAGCAACTGTCACTTTTTGTTGATTTTTTTCTTTACCAGAAAATATATTAAACACAGGAGCTGAAGAGCCGCTTCGGAAACAACATTAATACACCTTCAAAAGATACAGAGATTCTCATCTTGTCTAACAAATGTGAGTTTGTTTACAGAACTGAAATACAAAATGGTAAAATTATCTACCAGCTATAACCTACTGAAAGAACTTGATTTTCAATCTACAAAACAAGATTCATAATTCTGTTAAAACTTTGGCAAGATCAATGAGTTGCTTAACAAATTTATTTCGCCACACGGATTCTCTTGTCTCGGAGAGGAAGAGCAATCGGTTGCTGAGCTTGGTGAGGATGGTCTGGTCCTTTGTACACTTTGAGGTGATTGAACAGATACCGGCCAAGCTGTAAATAATATTTATCTTAAATTAAAAGGGGGTAACAATTAAATAGGCGACTCCATCAATCAGAAAGCATAGAAACAGAAGAAATTTCATTCAGAGATCCACATGGACTAACACTTCCTTTGTTTTCTTGCTCTATTTTATTTTCCCAAGGGTCAATGTGGGTGTAGAATTGTACTTTCTTAATGTATGCACGGAAGCCCTAACACATGGGCTGAAGTGAGACAACGTATAGACTCTTCAGCTGTGTGGGAGGCGGCTCAAGGTCGTGAGACAAGTAAAAAAGATACGGTGTCTAAGAATATTGTGCATTTTTTGTACTTCTTTTATTAATGATAGTCTATTGTGCACTTTGCGTAAATAGTTCAAGGCTCAGGTTTCCAAGAACTTTGATAAAAAAAATTGAATCATATTCAGAAACCATGAGGCTGGAAACTAAGTTTTAACTTGCTGATGTAGCATGTTAAATATCGCTTTTAAGAATAATTTTTAGGAAATTATAGAAAATAACATCACAAAAAAACACAAATTTTGATTATAACACCACAAAATTAAAACTTTTATTATAACACCACAAAAAAACCAAAAAATTTCAATTTCACCACCACTTACTAACGCCATCCAAAAAACCGTTAGTGGGCCCCACATAGTATACGTGTCAGTTATATATTGGATTAAAAAAACATGAAAAACCCTAAAATCCTAACCCAGCCACCGTACTCACCACCGGCGTCGGTTTCCCCCGCCCACCGCCACTGCTGGTTTCCCCAGCCCACCACCCTCGACTGACCACCTGAACGACGCACCACCCTAACCCTTAAACGCCGTATCCAACTCAGCCTTAGCCCCGATTTAATTCGGTTTCTGGAAACGGGTTAGGGTTCAGGTGAGGGCGGTTTTTGGGTTGGTGTGGGTTGGGTTTCGACGACGACTCTGGGTAGGGGAGAGGATTTCGGCGACAATGATGGTGTGGGAGAGGATTTCGGCGACGTGGGTGGTTTTTGGGTTGTGGGAGAGGATTTCGGCGACGTGGGTGGTTTTCGGGGAGGGGGAAGGCAAAATTCGGCGGCGTGGGGTGGTTTTGCCAGTTTTGGTGGGGGAGATGGGTGTCGGCGGCCTGGGTTACGGTGTTGGCGGCTGAGGCAAAGTAGCGCCGATGGTGGGGCTAGTTGGGTTAAGGGATTATCTTTTTTTTTTAATTTTTTTTTTCTTTTTATTAATTCAATTTTTTAAACCTATAAGCTTTTGACACGTGTCAAATTAGGGGCCCTAAATTTGTGAGTTTTTTTGTGGTGTTATAATAAAAGTTTTTTTGTTTTTTTGGTGGTGTTATAATTAATATTTGTGTTTTTTTGTGGTGTTATTTTCTAAAATATCCTAATTTTTAAAGGGTTTTTCTCGTTTTTGGGAAGTCAAATGCAGTGACTTGCAGAAACATCTAATGTGGCCTAGTTGGAGGAAATTAATTACAGTGACGAAAAGGATTTCTAAATAAATTGAGGGGGGAACATGCAAGATAAAATTAAAATTCCCAGAATCTGAAACCTCCTGGCAATTTCAAGTCTGGTGGTTTACTGTTGTTTAAAGCAAAAACAAATATCCAGACAATCAGAGCTTCTACAATAGGTTATAATTCGAGTACTAAGGCAATGAAGGATTCCTCAGATTGGGGCAGGTTCACAGTGCTCATATAGGTTGAGGTCTCTCTTCTTGTTAAAAAGCTCATTTTTCCACCCACCACAACATCTCATTTAAATCTACTAAAAAAAAATAATGCATCCTTGATGTGGCAGAATCACGGAACAGGATGTATTTAGATCATTCATAATTAGAAAACATTGCCTAGGTCATTGCACAGAAAATACACAATATTTTCTGTAGTCAATCAATATGCAACACGTTTTCCTTCATGTCACACACACACACACATTCAGCTGCTCTCCAGAAAAACAGCATTAATACATATCACGCCTTTACTTGGCTATTGGTGTTAGACATAGGTACACTTTCAACATCCAAGTCATAAATTTGGATATTTTCTTTTTTGAAAGATAAATTTGGATATTTTCAACATACCGAGGTGTCAAGGATCCTACAAGGTGTTTTTTCATATAAAGAGTCTGAATAACATAGGTCAAAGAAACATATGCAATTTTCATAGAGGTGGTGGTATATCTATATCATTACATGCATGTTGGGTAAAACCGTAAAAGTTGTATGGTTCAGTTTATTTAAACCATTATATCCAATTACCTAGTGTTTTGTGAGCTGCGGATTATTAGCCAGGAAGAATTAAACTTTATCATAAATAAAAGAAGATACAGCCGAAATCACTTACCCTTCCTTTAGGAAGCATGCCACGAACAGCATGCTCAACAATCCTTTCAGGAATTCTTTTCTGAAGTTGGTCAAAAGTTTCCTCTTTCATACCACCTGGCCTTCCTGAATGCCTCCTGTATAATTTCTGTGTCCTCTTTTTACCCGATACAGCAATCTTATCAGCATTTACCTGTAGTTTTTCAAGTACAGCGAAAGCCAATTAGCTGGTAGATACTTCATGCCTATACTGCATGTATGTGAGTAGCAAAACCTATATGAGCCTTAATATGACCAGATCTAGTATGCAAATAGTGGTGAGAATAGCACAAATGACCTGAATCAGCATCTGGAAATAATGATCTCTCGTCCACACTATCATATGACTTATTCGCCTGTGGTTTGACTATTGTCTAAGTATAAATTGCCTGATAAAAAGAGTTTTTTGCACTTCAATATCTTGAAAGCACCCGAATTCCCAATAGTTCAAGCTTATTGTTATAGATATGCAGGGTGAAAGTTATGCACATTAAAACAATACCTAGTCATTTATTACAAAGAAAAATATCAGAATTTCACTGCCCTCTATATTATCAACATTTTGCTAGGCAGGGAGCAGGTGTGCCTAGGCGCTGAGAAGAGCAATGATCCTCTTCTTTTTCTTTTTCTTTTTTTTTTTATTTTTTTTATTTTTTTTTATTTTTTTTAATTTTTTTAATTTTTAATTTTTTATTTTTTATTTTTTGTGAGAGAGGCAATTTTGATGAGGTGAGCAAATTTTTTACACAAAAAAAAAAAATATCTATCTTTAACTGCACCTCACTTCAATAAGGCACGCCTAAGGCTCAGAAAAACCCCCCATCACCATGATGCACCTTGAGCCTATTATGCATCGGCAAGGTAAGGCAAGCTTTTACACAGGGTCCCTTGCTGTCTCACTATTCACTAAGAATCCATAAGTAAGGAACAAAGCTGTTTAACTGGCTAATAACAGTTTTGAAGAGCCAAGATCCACTCAATCAAATTAAGAAAGTTTGCCAGGGCATATCAAAAGAACAAAAAGTACCATATTTCCGGTGTACCCCACACTTATCTTAGCTCTCCCAATCTCCTGTTAGTAAAAAAGTAATTTTCCTGAACATCTCCATTCATTTCTAAAAGCACTAATAAAGAGTGAAGGAATTGTTATTGCACGCAGATGAAAATACTGTCAACATTCGAGTATCGGAGAAAAGCTATAGTACTATATAACAACAAATTTGACATCCATGAACTCTCATCTTGAAGCTTTAATTCTCAAGTGAAAACAAGCTATATGATGTATCACAAACTTTCTGCTGGTTTCCTACGGTATGGAAAATAGACAACAATTTTTAAAATTTGAGGTTTTGCCTTCTTTTCTTTTAAATTGTAACACTGGCCAGCCCCGCAGGTATGAGAGGAACTAATGAACGCATGTAACATAGCTATGAAAAGGAGGATGCAAGAGACAAGGTCACATGGTTTATAAGCCTAAACATCTGACAAATAGCATACCACAATTACAAAGGCTCCCATGTCAACACTTGGAGTAAAGGAAGCCACATTCTTCCCACGAATATGTACTGCTATAATCGAGGCCAACCTCCCAAGAATCAGATCCGTGGCATCAACAACATACCATGTCTTGTCGGTAGGGACATGATCGGCAGCTTTAGGATACCAAGTTTTATTCCAAATATCCTGGAAGCAGAGGGAATAAAAAATAATAAGCATGAGTCAAACAAATTGATTCACAAATTTTTTTAACCAAATAACAAGATTATCAGCCACATAAAAAATAGTATTGCTTGATTGTGAGGACAAGGTACAAGTTAGACATTTCTCCACATAAAATTATTATGTGCTAAATGTGGTGAATTTAAGGAGATATCAATAAATATATAATGTGCGAACATGACTTTTGATGGAGACCATATTCATTAGCTGCCTAGACCTTGAAGTAATTTAGATAAGCACAAAGAGGAGGAAAAACAAGGGGTATGCACATTCACACTCCACCAAGGCTTCAATACAAGTTCAATCTTAACAAAGGGAAAAACAACACAGTTCTTTCTGGGTTTGGCAAGCTGCAATTTCAATTCAAAGGCCTGATTCTTCAGAAAAATATTATTCTGTCATTCTTCGTGACTGAATAATAATCGCAATTACTCAAGTAGGAATAGCTACTTCAAAGAAATCAACTTTATAATTCGTTAACAATTTTGCCGATGAAGGAACATCCCAAGGCAAACACCATCTAAATGGAACATG